CGGCTCATGGCGCCCGGCCTGCCGGAGGGCGGGCGCTCCCGGCCGGGCCGGGGCCTCGGCGAGGTCGGCCGGGAGGAGGCCTGCGGGCCAACAGGTAGGGGCCAGGCCCCGGCGCGCGCCCGCGACCCGGGCCGCCGACGCCCCTTGGTTGGGGACCCGTCGGCCGCGGACCTCTGGCGCGAGAGCCGCCCGGGAGCCCGCGTGCGTCCCGGGGCCCGAGTGTGGAGGCTGAGCGGGAGCAGTGGAGGCCGCTGCTGCCGCTGCTGCCGTGGCCGCCTCTGTCACTGCTGCTGGGCCCTTGTGCCACCCCCGGAGGGAGGTCAGGGAGTCCATGTGCCGAACGGGAAACAGGAAGGAGCACACTGTCGAGCGTCTGACCTGGCCTCAAAGGGCTAGGATTCCTATACCGTTATGGGGCGTGAGTGGCCGGCGCTGGGAGCAGCTGGTGAAACTAGCTTTACTGGTGGTAACTTGCTAATTACAGGCTCAGAGGCCCTCAAGCTAGTTGGCTGCGTGCAGGAGAGGCATTCATTTTTGGCCCGAGCTGGAGAGTTCCTGTGCCTAAGACGTGCTCTTGGCACCCAGACCAGATCTCACTTATTTGAGTTGCCAGCGTCAGCAGTCAGGGGCTTCTGAGGAGCATGAGGCCTGAAGTGCGCCGGTCCTCCCGGAGAACTGACTTAGGGAAGGCCTCTGGCAGACAGTTACTTGTGTTTTTGTGTTACAGCTGGGGTAGGAGGTCTCAGCCCATCCCAGGTGACTGGCGTGAATGTGTTTGCCGACTGTGATGGGCTCCTTAAGGATAAGGATTTGTTCCTTAGGTCCTGTTTCTGTCCACACACTGCCTATTTTCTAAGGGTGTGTGTGTGTGTGTGTGTGTGTGTGTGTGTGTGTGTGTGTGTTTTACTCCAGGAATTGGTCCCTGTCTCCATTGCTGCCCCTCACTGGGGCCTCTGCCCAGATTTCACTCTGGGAAGAGCCGCCTCCCAGCCCCCACCGGCCGTAGGCAGACTGGCTCTGTACGGCTCCTTTCAGTACCATCTGCATCTGCTAATTCAGCCCGCTGGCCTTACCCTGTCTCAGGGGGGCATGTTCTTTACGGTGTTTGGGTTGGGGCAGGAGACACGCTATAGGCCATGAGAAGCCGAGAAGCCTTGGCAGGCGGCAATTGTCACAGCCTCACCCCATCACCTTTCCGAGGATCTGGGCTGGTGCTGTAGCCTGAAGCAGTTGACACACCTTTTGATTTCAGACGTTGCTCTTCACCTTCTAGAAAGAAGTACTATTACCAGAAAAGAAAGTTTTCAATAAGAAAGCCCTACTCAGGACTCCTTCGTCTTTTTTAATGGTTGCTCTGACTTGAGAGCCTGTGAGACCATCTCTTTTGCCTTTTCTGCAAACTCACTAGGACTGTTATTCCATTGAGTCTAAGTTTTCTTTTTTGAAACAGGGTTTCTCTGTGTAGCCTTGGCTGTCCTGGAATTCACTCTGTAGACCAGGCTGGCCTGGAATGAACTCAGATCTCTCTGCCTCTGCCAGGACTAAAGGCTTGAGGTGGGATTAAAGTGCCTGGTGTGGTTTTGCTTATAGGTTAAACTGACACCACTCCAGTCTTCTGGGTCTGTGACCGCCTTTGGGCACCCATCTCCCAGCCCTTTTCAGTTGCTTAGGAGGGTCTTTGGGATCAGTCAGAGTTGGAGCAAAGGTTGGAGCCAGGCAAAACCCTGCTTAAGGTGCCAGTAATGTAATGCTTGTGGAATCCCTGCTGTGCTGGCTCCTCTCCAGCTTCTGTCTCAGAGTGCTGTCTGCCTCAGAGGCAGGTGTGGTGAGAAAGACAAAAAGAGGAGCACACACACCACATCTCTTCCTGTGTGCAGTCGGTGTGATTTTTGTGAGTGGAAAAGTGCAGGTGTAACCAGCCCTTAGGGGCTGGAAGTGATTTTTCTGGTCCTGGTGTCTTGCTCATGGAATGCCTCATCTTGGCGTGCTGGTGCCAAGTAGAGGGAGCGGGTTGGTTCTGCGGAGATGTGTAAGGCCGACTGGGAACCCCAGTGCTTTCCTCTCCCGTTGAGTTAAAAGTTCTGACCCTGCTGAGCCTGGTGCTATGGCTCTGCCATGCAAGTTCAGAACAGCAAAGGAAGTCACAGCAAGCTTGAAACCCAGTGTGCAAGCCCGGTCGGTCTTCACCTCCCACATCACTCTGGGAATGGAGTGGGAGAGCACTGGGGCTCAAACGGGTGTGCTGTTTAAGATACCCACTTGGGCTACCCCACCCCTTAGCTCCTTACCTTTGTAGGGATAAGAAAGGCTCTAGACATTCCTGTGCTGCTGGAGTCCAGGAGAGAGGCTCCACCCACCCTCTAGGCCCTTAGCTAGCCCTCTGAATCGCCTTCAAAAGGCTCTACCAAGAAAAACATCCTGCTAATGGATGGGATGGTGTGCAGATGGCCCAAGGCTGGGATTGTCTGCATGCCTGAATTGTGGTCTCAGTGAAGGAACAGTTGGGCACTAAGAAACACAGTGGCCAGGCCAGATGGTCAGGTATGGGTTCCACACCTCCTGTCCAGTTAACCCAGTGGACAGAAGCAGTGGTGTCCAGTTTGCCCTTCAGTCCGGTCTTCTGTCCTCTTCCCTCTCCTATTCAGTTTTTCTAGGAAGAATATGTGCTTGTGTGGGCAGTTACATTTACTTTTGTTCTGTTGAGAGGCTTTCACTTTTTCAAGGTGAGGAAGAAGGGATACTGTCCTCCATGTTGAGGTCTGGAATGTGTGATTGGGGCTGAGGGATGCCGTGTGTGGAGATGAAAATCCTTTATTGTCTATGCTGACTTCTGATTTCACCCACAAGAGCAGTGACCAGGAGTGAGGACAGGAGGGTAAAGTCCGCCCAAACACTGACTGACCCGTGACAGGCTGAGAGGGATTTCGCAAGTGCTTCTGTGGAGGGTGGAGGCGGAGCTGTTGAAAGAGCCAAGCAGAGGACCAGCCCAGCTCAGTCATGGGCTGAGGGTTCCGCCTTCTTCGCCAGTTCCACAGTGCCTGCTGCCTCTGCTCACACTGGCCCACAAGCTCCTGCTGTCTTTCTCTCCGTCTCCCTCCTGACACAGCTGCCAGTCTCTAGGTCAGTCTGAGCGCGGCCACCTCTCCTCCCCATGCATAGGACCATCTTGGCTTTCCTACTCGTCAAGTCTTAAGAGTTGCCAGGTGCTGTGTTGATCCATGACCCTTCAGGGACATCTGGTTGCTTCTCAACCCTGAGCGGCTGCCAAAGATCACTGCCTGCCTCATCTGGGATGGTCAGTGCCCCATTGCTTTCTGTGGAGGGAAGAAGGGATACTGAAGACTACAACTTTCCTGGCCTGAGGATGTTGGCTGGTCCGCTTGCAGGCAGTTTTCTTTCTGTGTTGTGGGCAAGCCTCTGTGAGAACTAGATTATGTCAGCAGTGGGGATGAGTCTAATTTCAGCAACTGAGCTGCTGAAGCAGTAGGCTCGTGAGTTTCAGCACAACCTGGGCTGCCTAAGCACGATCTCAAACAAGTTTTTACCAATGTCTTGGTTTGCTCTCTGGGTTCTCCGTCTCCAGGCCTGACTCTCTGTACCCTCACTTCCTCCCCCACAACTCTGGTTTTTAAAGACAGGGTTTCCCTGTGTAGTCCTGGCTGTCCTGGAACTCACTCTGTAGAACAGGCTGGCCTCGGGTTCAGAGATCCACCTGCCTCTGCCTTCCAAGTGCTGGGATTAAAGGCCTGTACCACCACACCCGCCTTCTTCACTTCCTTCTGAACAGAAGTTTACAGATTTTCTGCCTCCCATGTAGAGACTGAATGCGTTGGCATGGAGTGTCAGTCTTGAGTGTGGGTATTTAATGTTCGCTGTTCTTTAGGGATGTTTCTTCCGTTTCATTTGTTTAAAACTGAGCAGCCGTCTTTCCCCCTTCCTCCTCCTCTTTCTTTAAACCAGGCCTTATGCAGTCCAGGTTGGTCTCAAACTCATGATCCTATGGCTCAGCAGCTCAAGTGCTAAGACTAGACTCACCCCTCTCCCCGCCCCCCAGCTGATATAACCTATCTTACAAACTATAAGGGTCTTACTGTGCAGCCCAGGCTATCCTGAAACTCGCTCTGTGGATCCACCTGCTCCTGCCTCCTGAATGCAGAGGTTGACAGTGTGCGCCTCTGTGTTCACTCACCTGGTTGACGTTCCTGATTGTTGATTGATCACAGCTTCTCACACTCGGTCTCGCTTGCTCTCCAGGTTCAGATCCAAAGATAAGATTGATAAGAAATGAGTGTTGTTGTTTTTTGGTTCAATTGCGGGGAATTGTGCCCGGGTGGTGTCAGCGCCACCTCAGGTTGCATCAAACTGTAAATGCTGGGAAAGCACTGATTTCCCATCACAGATGAGGGACACATTTCATTCAAGCCAGCCAGTTCATTCCAAGGCCATGTAGCCAGAACCAGAGACCAAGGCTTGAGTCACTGTCCCATCCCAAAAGTGTTCATTCCTTCTCTTGCCTGAAGCTCTCACTTGGCCTTCTAACTTTTCCCTTCCTCACTAGGATGCTCCAGACCTTGTATGACTACTTCTGGTGGGAACGACTCTGGCTGCCGGTGAACCTAACCTGGGCTGATCTAGAAGACAGAGATGGACGTGTCTATGCCAAAGCCTCAGACCTCTATGTCACACTACCCCTGGCCTTGCTCTTTCTCATCATTCGATACTTCTTTGAGCTGTGAGCATGCTCTCAAACCTTTCCCGATTGCCAGCCAACCTATCAGACTTCATGTTGCTTTGCTGATATTTAGTTCTGGACATTGGTGTTCCGGCTACCCAGGTCCCCACTCACTGCACCCCTTTCCCCAGGGCACCATTGTCTTCCTAAGTGCTCGGCACCCACAGCCGTTTCCTTCAATGGTTGGTTGTTCTCACCCTGCACCCACCTCCTCGCCTGGTGAACATAGGCAGCTTTGTCAACTGTGGGCAGCCTAGGAGGCCAGAGCAAAGGGGGTTGCCGGGGAACTGAGGCCCAGAATTAAGATGCCTGTTCTTGCAGTAGTCTCTCCTCCCCATTTGGGTGTTCGGGGTGTCCCAAGGGAGCTGGACACTTCTCTCTTGCGTCTCTTCCTCAGTTATGTTGCTACACCCCTGGCTGCTCTCATGAATGTTAAGGAGAAAACCCGACTGCGGGCCCCGCCCAATGCCACCTTAGAGCATTTCTACCTGACCAGTGGCAAGCAGCCCAAGCAGGTATGAGCTGCAGATAACTGTGGGAGTTGCTGAATTTGGGTGGGTCAGAGTTTGAATGCCAGCTCTGGAAGGTGAGGCAGTGTTGGGGCGCAGGGGCGTGGGTGCACTGTTGAGTTGAAGGCTGAATTTAACAGCCTTGCTATGTCTAGGTGGAGGTAGACCTTTTGTCTCGGCAGAGTGGGCTCTCTGGACGCCAGGTGGAACGCTGGTTCCGCCGCCGCCGCAACCAGGACAGGCCCAGTGTCCTCAAGAAGTTCCGAGAAGCCAGGTGGGGGAAGTCGGGGCAAGCGGAGCTGGGCGGCGCAGTTCTGTTCTGTGTTGCTGGGAGGAGGGCACCTTGACAGGGCATCTGGGGGATCCCCCACCTAGCCGGCCCTGCTTTCTCTTGCAGCTGGAGATTCACGTATTACCTGATTGCCTTTGTTGCTGGCATGTCTGTCACTGTGGATGTGAGTACTGGGAAATGGGAGCAATCCTTTGTCAAGGTGGCTAAGGCCTTACGATGTGACAATGTGAGCCCTTCCTTTAATCTCTTTGCAGAAACCCTGGTTCTATGACTTGAGAAAGGTTTGGGAGGGATATCCCATACAGGTATGAGAACGGCCTTTATGTAGGAGTGCTCTATGGCAGACAACACCCCCTTTTTAAGAGTTTCATGAGTACATGGCAGAGGGGCCAGTCATGGAACAAAGACTATCTTGAGGGGCTGGAAGTGAGTTGGAGGTGAGCCTCACCCCTCTCTCCTCTCCCAGAGCATCCTCCCTTCTCAGTATTGGTACTACATGATCGAACTTTCCTTCTACTGGTCCCTGCTCTTCAGCATTGCTTCTGACGTCAAGCGAAAGGTGGGTAGAGGCTGCGCTGTTAAGTCCAAGGAACTAGATAAGGCCTTGGGATGAAGACCCTTTCCTTTGACTTCTGGGGGAGCTGGACAGAGTTGCTGGGATCTGGGGAGGAGGAAGGAACAATGGGACAGGGAAGAGTCCCTTGGAGCCTGCGTCTTTTCTGCAGGATTTTAAGGAACAGATCATCCACCATGTGGCCACCATCATTCTCCTCAGCTTCTCCTGGTTTGCCAATTACGTCCGAGCAGGGACCCTCATCATGGCTCTGCATGACTCTTCTGACTCCCTGCTGGAGGTTAGGCTTCTTCACAGTGGAGGCCCCCATGCAGGGTTCCTGTCCCTCTGGTCTTCTAGGGGGTTGAGATGGTCTGGTCAGTGCTGCCAACCGCATGCACAGATTAGTGTCTGGGAGTCTCCAGAGCCCATGACCATAAACATGACCGTTTATGCAGTCCGCCAAGATGTTTAACTACGCGGGATGGAAAAACACTTGCAACAACATCTTCATTGTCTTCGCCATCGTGTTCATCATTACTCGGCTGGTTATCATGCCCTTCTGGTGAGTAGGTGGTCAGGCTCTTCCTCTTTCCTTTCTTCCTCCTTTACCTCAATTTTCACCTGTGTCCGTGTTCACAACTTTGCCCTGAATCCTTAGGATCCTGCACTGCACGCTGGTATACCCACTGGAGCTCTACCCTGCCTTCTTTGGCTATTACTTCTTTAACGTCATGATGGCAGTGTTGCAGATGCTGCATATCTTCTGGGCTTACTTCATTTTGCGCATGGCCTACAAGTTCATAACTGGAAAGGTGAGGAAGGCCCTGTCCCTTTTGTAGGCCTTACTATTCTCAACCTCAGCACTCCCAAACTCCTTGTCATACCAGCAACTCTTCAAGTAGGAGGTTCTGGGAGTTAAAAGGAAAGTTAGAGGCAGCCCTTGGGAATACATAACCCTTTTTATCTTTTCCACAGCTGGTAGAAGATGAACGCAGTGACCGAGAAGAAACGGAGACCTCAGAGGGGGAGGAGACTGCAACTGGGGCAGGAGCAAAGAGCCGGCTCCTAGCCAATGGCCATCCCATCCTCAATAACAACCATCCTAAGAATGACTGAGCCACTGTCCTAGCTGCCTCGCACATTAATACATGAAGCCAAGAAACTAGCCAACCCTCCCTTTAGGGATATTTGAGCTCTGGGGAGAAAGGATATAAGGAGGCGTCTGCACCGACCCTCCTCATTTCTTTTGTCACTCAGTTGCCTTTAAGCCAGACTAACCAGCTTATCTCCATTGGAGAAGAGGCTTGGTTGGTTATATCCTGTTTGAGGGGGGATGGTCTTATTTCCCTCTCCATCTTCCAAGCTACTTTTTCTCTTGCTAAACCTTCCTGAGCTCTGAGGGTTGAAGTCATAACTCACATTCCTTATTAATAATTTGGAGCTAGCTGTTTGCCTCTGACTCCCTGACTTCAAGCCAGGGTCGTGCCTTATTGTCCCTTCTCTGGGCCTCATTCTGCCAAAGCTGGACCAAGGTTCCACCTTTCTAAGCTCCCTAGCTCAGGCCAAAAATGAAAGCTGAGCTACTTTTAACTTTTGCTCTTCCTTAAACACCAGTTAATTAAGTGAAGGAGGGTACACCTGCCCCTCACCTGACCCCAGGGACCACGGATCCAGGATCTCACTGCCTCCCTTCTCTGGCCTCTTTTCCCTCCCTTCAGCTAAAACAAGCTGGTGTGGAGTAGAAAGGAAACTAGTTTTGTTATTTATTGAACATTTGGGGGTTTCAGTTTTAAAGCCAGAACTACAGCTAGGACCTAGCATTTTGGCGAGGGACCGTTTCAGACCAAAATGTACTGTTAATTTTTTTTTTAATTAAAGTATATTAAAGGTTAAATAAAACATGACAGTGTGTCAGACTATTCAGACCTGAGAAAGGGGATAGTTTTCTTAGGCCTTCCTCATGGGTTATATAACTTTTTTTGTTGTTGTTGAAAATTACACAGGGAAAATAAAATAGAGGTGTAAGACTACTGATAGCTGCCCAGTGGGAAAATGGACTCTCCCTGAACACTAGGATAGGGACTGAGGAGAGAAAACAAATCACAATCTCTATTTTATCATCTTGTTAAAAGACTTTGAAGAAACCATACAAACCAGGGATAGCAGATACACGATACTGCCATATGAGTCATGAATACAGGAACAAAACAAAGGATGAGAAGGACCTCAGGCTAAGGCTAGAGTGGTCATGTCCCCCCACTCCAGTGCCTACTAGCACCACGCTGGCAAAGTCCTGATCCAGAATCCCCATTTCTACCTAGTAGGAGCTGGGGAGAAGCTAGACCAGAGACTTGGGGTCAGAGTTCAACAGTCAGACCCAGTTCCTGGGGAAAGGAGCTGGGGGTTCTCAAAGTTACAAGAGGACTTTCCTCTACAGAAGACGCCCTCTGCATTTATTGGCCTTACAGCAGCACAGCAGCTCTTTGCCTTCTACACTGCCTACGTCGTAGTTGTAGTCCCAAGTGAGTTCTGTTCCAGCCCGGATTCTCCTGAAGAGGGAAGAAGAAGAGGATGTGGTAAAGGCAGCAGTAACACAGGCACTTGAGGTTAGAGCTTAGAAGGGAAAGGTAAAGCTTGACTGTAAAGGAAGGGGCTCCCCTAGAACTGCATGAAGCTTGCCCCCTTCCTCATTATCCCCCTTACTTGCTGGCAAAGAAGGCCACCCAAGGGAAGCGAAGATCATGAGTATCCACGAAGACATTCTGGACAAACAGGTTGGGGCTGCAACTGTGCTGTAAGTTTAAAGATGACAGTCATTTGACCAGGGAAACATCAAGCTATGTGAGAATTCAAAGAAAAATGGTGTCTAGTCTCTACCTGATTAAACATTATAGCAGTGATATTTTGAAAGAAAGCTACTTCACTCTTTGAAATCTACTTATAAACAAAGGTGGGCTTATACAGTATCTTAGGAATTTGAGGGCAATGGACGTGGTTCAGAGCTGGGGGCTGGAGAGATGGCTCAAAGGTTAAGAACACTGGTTCTTCCAGAGGTCCTAAGTTCAACTCCCAGCAACCACATGGTCGTTCATAATCACCTGTAATAGGATCTGAGGCTCTCCTCTGTCATGGAGATATACAGGAAGATAGAACACTCATACACAAGTAAATAAATCTTAATAAAGGAGTTTTAGAGTCTTACATTGAGGTAGCGGCCTAGGTTGCCTTCAAGCTTGGCATCAATGATGTAGCAAGACTCTTCACCATCAAAGAACTGGCGGGTGTTCTTACGAACTGGGGCATTCTCCCCCTTGTCCACGGAAGCCATGTTGGTTGATTTAATGGCAATTCCATGGGTTGATTTAAGAGCAAAGCCTCGGGTTGATTTTACTGCCACCTGGCGCTTCGTTGGTCCTGGAAAGCAGAAAAAAATATGCGGTCAGGGATTATCCCAATTTAAACTAGCCATTCTGCCTCCTTCACTTTAACCCAGGCAGCTTTCAAACTGATCTCCCAGTCCCCTTTTCTCCCAAGGGTGGGATCACAGATGTTAGCACCATGCCCCACTTCTCAAATTTTTATTCCACTCATTGCAGTTCAGGGAGAGCAAAAACTAGCAAACTTCAGGCTAAGACCCTAATCACCAGCCAGGAATGGTGGGTGCAAGCCTTTAATCCCAGCACTTGGGAGGCAGAGTTCAAGGCCAGCCTGGTCTACAGATCGACTTCCAGGCTGCACAGAGAAGCCCTGTCTTGGTGGGGGAGTGGGGTAGGTGAGCGCAGAGAGGCTGGGAGGACCAAACCCATGAACCTCCTGTCTCAGCTTCCCAGGTTGTGAATTACAGGTTTAGGCCACCATGATAAGCTTTTTAGTCACACTCTATTAAAAGCATGATTAGATCTGTTGAACTAAAGAGCTGAAGAGAAGGAGGGGTATAGGGAAGAAAGGGCACATATCAGTTTAGCTGAGTAGGGAAGTCTGTCCAACTCTTAGGATATGAATTATTTCCTTCTATGAAAAATGTTTTTCCTACTTTCCTGTTTCTTCCTACTATTCTCCAAACATTTTCAGACTACCAGACAAGTTCTTGTCCTCAAAGTCATCGCCATCAGAGCCAGAAGAGATGGTCTGAATGTCATCACTGTCAACGGCTGTGGCTGAAGTCTGGCCAGCAGTGGGCTTTCGGCTGGTTCCACTTTCCCCCTCACTTTCTGTACTGCTCGACAGTGTCAGGATATCCTGGGAAGACAAGGGTGTGAAGAAGGAAGAAGAGCTAATAGAAAGGCAGCTTCAAGTTCTTACTTTTACCCGTGTTTTAGCAAAAGGTGGCAGATATTTAGATGCTGGAGAATACCACACAAAGTCAAGGCCAGAGAAAGAAGGGACGTAACAGTCATGAGAAGGTGAAGTAGGGCTGTTACAGGGCCTCTCCTTGGACTGAAGAAAACAAGGCAGGGTGAGTTTAAGGAGGCTACTCACATCCGTGTTTAACTGAGTAGAAGCCACAAGTCGCCGGTTTTGGGGCAAAGGAATTTTACTAGCTGGTCGGCAAAGCCCTTCAGACGTCATGGGAAGATTGTGTCCATGATTCTGAATGCCTTCAGTAAGTCTACGGGAAGAGCAAAGAAGGAGAGTTAGCTTACTGGCTGTTTCTTAGGCTTCTTTTGTTAGCTTGAAAGGAGAGGGCAGACTTAGAACGGCCAAAAAGCAAGCACTTACACTGACATCTTGTTTCGGTCATCAGTGTCCTGGGAAGAACAAGTGAAAGGTTAAATGCTTTCATGGTCCAAGGTAAGACAACATTAATGCAAGCCAGTAAGAGGTGCAGGCAGCAAAGTAGGTGATTTGGGGAAATCACTCTGTGAACTGAGAGCATATTCTCCACAGTAGACTCCCCGGCAAGGGCCCTAACCTTTCCCAATAACAGGCCACAGACAACAGCACTGTGAGCATATTGTTCCATGGACCCAACAGTTTTAGGACCTGTAATGGGGAAATGTTTCAACACCAAAGATATACTTGTAATAGCAAATTTCAGGCCAACCTGGATTGTACTGTGACCTTGTCTAAATAAAAACAGCAACGAAAAGCAAAACAAAAGCAACAAACCCTCACTTAGAATCAGTTCTTTCTTTGGTTTGAGATGAAGTCTTGAATGAGGTGACCCCTACCCCAACCTTCATCTGCAGCAATGTTGGAGAGCATTGCCATGGTAATGTCTACACTGCCTTGGGAGGGGCCAGCTGGGATGGCTGTCAGCAGACGTATCTTTATACCTCCAGGGCCACAAATGAAAGCAAATAATTTTTTGAGGGGAGTGTGGCTGCTCTTAAATGCTTTCACCATTTTTACCTCTTTCTTAGGCTGCTTACTGTCTCCTTCATCCTTGAAGCTCAGTCCTGAGGTGGAGGCCCTTTCAGCCTCTCCCCGGCCTCCCCCAGCACGCCCATCTCCACCTTCACTAGTCTTGAAGGAGGACCGGCTGTCAGAGTCAGCAAATCCACCCTCACTGACACTATTGCAGCTCAGCCATGAGGCCACCTTATTCTTGGGTGTTTCTTCAGAAGAAGGTGGATTGCAGCCCCCTGCAGATACTGAGGGAGGGATAGGAACATGTGGAGGCCCAAGGTCTGGAGGGCGGGAGTCCTTGGAGGCCATCTCAGACAGTCCGTTCTCCTTCTGACCCCGTGTCTGTCTCCGGGTAGCATAGCTCCGCCACACTGAACTGGTGCTGAAGTCCTCATCCTTACAGAAGTTGTCATCAGAGCTGTCATCATTGGATTCCTCAGGGTCCTCTGAACCGCTGTTGCCATCTTCCTGGTTCTTCGTATCTACTTCATTGCTATCAGAGGAAGTGGGAACATCACTCTCATATCCTTCCTTGAAGTTCTCCACACTTTCAATGTGGTCCAGATTTGCAAAGTACTCATCACCCATCTCCAGGCCTTCTTTGTCTGCAAAGTCATCTGTCAGGATTTTGCCTGAGAATAAAGAGAACTGAACCATTAGTACCATACCCACTAGCAGGGTAAAGCCTGCATTATGGGCTCACTTTAGACACTACCTTTGCTTTCTCCATGTGAACATTGTCACTGTAGCCTGTCATTTGCCCTGCCCTTCCCTTTTTTTTTTTTTTTCTTTTAAGGTCCTTGATACTTCCTAGCTATGCTAAAATATCTCTGGGAAAAAGGTACAATGGAATGGAAACAAGGTTTCTCACTGAAACATCAATAGCCAGATTTGACCCTCTTCCACTGTTTAGAAAGCACCTTGTCCCTCTCTAGTCTGCCACACAGAAGCACCACTTATGTCCTTCGTAAAAGAAACCCCATATCCTCTCATTCTCAGTTCAACTGTCGGACACTTCATTCATTCATCCGTTCTTTCAGGGACTGAATCCAGAGTCTCCTGCAAAGTAAGTACACATTGTTCTCTTGAGCTGTATTTCCACTCCTCAAACAGTTTTTTGAGGCAGAGACTGGGTATGTAGACCAGGTTACCCCCAACTCTCAAATTTTCTGCCTTCACCTTCTGAGTGCTTAGATTATAGACATGTACTACTACCATGCCCGCTAGTACTTTGCTATGTTTAACTTGTTCCTGACCTAAAATGTCCCAAACCCCAGGGGAAATAACCCTCCGCTTTTATCACTGACCTGCATATATACAGACAAAAGAGCCTTTGGCAATGTCATCCAAGCAGCGGATACCCCAGCCCTTGTCCTGTGTCTTAAATAGCTGTAGTCGAACCTGTAGTCCATGCTGCACCAACCGATTTGTGCACATGTTTGGGTCACATTTGCAGCGCTTGTTACACTCGTAAACCCTGGGAGGTTAGAATACAATCAATAACACAATCACTAGGGTACTGACATCTGTAAAAACATGCCACGAGTAAAGATCA